CCCTTTTTATGTTACACAAAATTTTGCTGAAGAGTTTCAGTGAATCTCTTTTGCTATTGACTGACAAGATGATTTGAAGTACTGAAGAATCAATGTTATGATTTAAACTTGAGAGCTTTGCGTTATCCTTTGTAAAGTTTTTTTTTTTGATAAAATTTGAATATATTATCAAAAGAAAATAGAGTAGATTTACAAAGCTTTAAAACCAGAAGTTACAGAGGCCAAAAAAAAATAAAAAGCCTTGTGGAACTAATAACGGGTTAAAATATAGTGCAGTACTACGAGTAAGTGAACCACTGCAACAGGAGACCATTGCAGCGCCTCCGTGAGTAGCGCGCTAGTAGTGAGTCCCGTGTAGTTCGGTCTATCCGTTTGAAGATTTCTGCAGCAGAGAGAGTCAAACCTGTGTGGACACGCGCGTTCCGCTCCATCCAAATAAGATAGATAGTGCATTGAGCCACTAATCGTTTCAAAATCCTAGAGATTGTCTTCGATGGAGTTCTCATCCATTGCAACAATTGAGACCAATTAACCAAACCCATAGCCGAACCACCATTTAACCTTGGCGTGACCATTCTCCAAACGTCAACTGCAAAAGTACACTGGAAAAAGATGTGGTCACGAGTTTCCTCAAACCCATTGCACATCAAAAGTACACTGGAAAAAGATGTGATCCTTTGTAAAGTTTGAAGGGCAATACAAATTAGTTTATATACATCTCATTTTCTAAGGCCTTGATTGGCAATGAGCATCATGCTGTGTAAAACTTGATTGGTAGACAAAGCATTAAGCATAGCGTTTAGTAAATGCTAATGCTCTCTAAATGCTCCTACTCTCAATGCTCCTAACTAGAGATTTTCTTGAGCTTTGACCTATACTATTATTAAAAAATATTTAAAAAAATATTAAATAACTAATCTTTTTATATATAAGATCAAAAATAAATTATATTAACTTTTATTTATTTTATTTAATATTTATCATTATTTTATTGGTTTTATTATTTTAAAATAATATCAAAATAAAACAATAAAATTTAGTTAAATATAATTTAAATTTGAAAATATTATTAAAAAAATTATGTTATAATTTTATAAATATATTTATATTAAAACTAAAACCTAATATTTAACATTAGTTTATTTTTCTATTTGTTAAATAGTATTATAATAAAATAATAATTTAATAAAAAAATAATTGAATAAAAATGTTGTTATAACTTATGACTAGTATATATATATATAATGTATTAGAATACATATAAATAAATATAATGAAATCATTTATTTAATTTTATATCTAGTTATTCACAGCTCTGCCAATCACTTATACATATTAATCAGAACATACTGCTATTGCAGCA